GTTGTTTATTTTTTCATGTCTTACTGCACTTGCTAGTCTTCCAGAAAAATGTTAGCTAGAAGCAACATTATCAGGTATTCTTAACCTGTCCAAGACATTTAAGAATTTACCTCTGTTTCATCTTGAAGACAGGGGCTTGCTGTGGTTGGTTTAAATATTTTTTAATAGACAGTATCAAGTTAAGAAAGTTCCTTCTAGACCTAATCTGTTCTGTTTTTATCATAATAATTATTACTGTAAATTGAGTTATATTTTATTTTATCAAATGCTTTTTCTGTATCTACTGGGAAAATTATGCTTCTCCTTCAGTTTCTTAGTGTGATTAACTATATTAATACATTCTCTAATGTTATCATATTTGGTAAAAGGCATTTTGTTATGATGTACTTTGATGTATTGCTGGACTCAGTTTGCTATTACTTTATTTCATAAGTTTTACATGTAATTTCGTAAGTGATATTGGCTTACACTTTTTCTTTCTTATACTTACTTTGGTATTGGTCTCAAAGTGCCTCATAAATGAACTGGAAAGATTTCCTTTTTTCCTCTCTCTCTTTTGTTTTTTTCCAAAAGAGACAAGGTCTTGCTATGTTGCCCAGGCTTGTCTCGAACTCCTGGGCTCAAACAATCCCCCTGCCTTGGCTTTCCAAAGTGCTGGGATTAGAGGCATGAGCCACCACACCTGGTACTTTTTTCTCTTTTAAAAGCTTTATAAAATGAAGTTAAGCTATTCCTTTGGCTACAGTCACTTAGAAGATCAGAGCCCAGTGATAATTTTTGGTTTGTTTCTTCTTTGGTGCAAATATTTTAAACTGCAAATTAAATTTCCTTCTATTTATAGGTCTATTCAGATTTTAAGGCCAGATGTGATGGCTTATGCCTGTAATCCCAACACTTTGGGAGGCTGAGGAAGGAGGGATCACTTGAGCCCAGGAATTTGAGCCTGCAGTGAGCCATGATTGTTGAGACAGAGTGATATCCTGTCTCCAAAAAAGAAAACAAAGACTCTATATTTTATCTTTCTAGGCAGTTTTGGTAAGCTGTATTTTCCCAGAAATGTATTCATTTCTACTAAGTCTTTAAAGGTATTGCCTTGGGTTGTTCAATGCATTCTGATCTTTTAATCTGCTACTACTGCATCTATAATTATTGTACTTCTTATTGCTAATATTGTTTATTTGTATCTTCTCTCTTTTGTCTTGATCAATCTTGCTAGAAATGTCTATTTAATAGTCCTTCCACAAAACCTAGGAATTCAGCCTCAAGATATCACACGATTATCATTTTGACATTATTCATGATGGCAAAGTATTACAAATAATCTAATTACAAATAATCTAATGTAAGAAATTAAATAAATCATGGTACTTCCACTTTACAGAATACCATATAGCTGTAAAAAATAATAATGAGGAAGAGCTCTATAAATCGACATACAGTGATTTTCAAGATATATCAAATGGAAGAGCTGGCACAGTGGCTCATACCTGTAATCTCAACACTTTGGGAGGCCAAGGCGAGTGGATCACTTAAGGCGAGGAGTTCAAGACCAGCCTGGCCAACATGGCAAAATCCCAGTTTCTACTAGAAATATAAAAATTAGCTGGGCGTAGAGGTGCACACCTGTAATCCCAGCTATTTAGGAGGCTGAGGCAGGAGAATCGCTTGAACCCGGGAAGGCAGAGGCTGCAGTGAGCCAAGATCATGTCACTGCACTCCAGCCTGGGTGACAGAAAGAGTGAGAGTCTGTCTCAAAAAAAAAAAAAGAAAAGAAAAGAAACATAAATGGTGTTAAAAAAAAAAACAAAAAAACAAAAAAACAAAACATTGTGCAAAAGGATATACAGATGCTCCTCAACTTATGATGTGGTTACGCCTTCTAAACCATCATAAATTGAACATATCATAAGTTGAAAATGGGCATTTTGTTGACATGATGGTATGCGGAACACAGAACACAATATTCAAAAAAACACTGGCAACACCGTACATTGCAGTATGGGTTGTTTACCCCGTGATCACATGGCTGACTGGGAGCTGCGGTTCCTGCCGCTGCTCAGCATGGTCAAAGTATCATGTCACATATCGCTAGCGCAGGAAAGGACCAAAATTCAAAATTGCAGCACAGTTTCCACTGAATGCATATTGCTGTCACATATCATAAAGTCAAATAATTGTAAGTTGAACTATTGTTAAGTCAGACACATCTGTATACAGTATACTACTCTCTATATAAGAAAAAAAGGGGAAAGCAGATATTTGTATCTGTTTATTCTTATAGAAAAAAAATAAGGAGAAGTTGTTTACCTACAGAGGATGGGTGAGAAGGAGGTAGAAGGGATAGGGAGTGGAACTTTTATGAGTATATCTTTTTAAAGGGCTTTAACTTTTAAACTATTCGTATCTCCCAAATATCAAAAAATAAATTAATAAAAATGGGGAAACAACTAAAATGGAATGCCAATAGAAATCAGTTAAACCTAACTGTATATCAAATAGATAACACAAACACATAAGAAAAAAGTTAATTCAAGTAACTTTTGAACATGGTTCTCCGACTGTGTACTCTCAATAGGATACTTTCTAAGGACAAAAAGAACTTCAAAGAAATCTTAGGCTGTAGTTAACACGTATTTTGAGAGCGGTATTGGTGCAGCAATTCTGAAAACTCTTATCTGTATGTCTAAGATTTAGCAAGTGAGTAAAAATATTGTTAGATTCTCGTTCGGGGAGAAGGGAGATTCAAATATGAAATGGGAAAACAAATGAACACTGAGATGTCTGATGGGAATTAGAGCTATCAGTATAAACTCGTGAATTTTTAAAAGCTGTATCTCTTAGCTCTAAGAATGCTAGAAGTAATGATACTCCAGTAACAATGAGTACACCTAGCATCAAGATCTTGGTTTCTAAGTATCATTTCCCTCTAAAAGGAAATAGGGTTCCTTGGAGAAATCAATTATTCTAGGATGGGGGCAAAGAAAGTACTGTACAGACAAATCTATAATCTTAGCACTTTAGGCAGTTGAGGTGGGAAGATGCTTTCTCTCAGGAGTTCAAGACAAGGCTGGGCAACATAATGAGACTCCATCTCTACAAAAAAAAACTTTGAGAAGTTAGCTGGGCATCGTAGTCCTAGCTACTCGGGAGGCTGAGGCAAGAGGATCACTTGAGCCCAGGAGTTTGAGGCTTCAGTGAGCCATGATCCTGCCACTGAACTCCAGCCTGGGTGACAGAGTGAGATAAAATAAAAGAAAAAAGAACGGCTGGGCGTGGTGGCTCACGCCTGTAATCCAAGCACTTTGGAGGCCAAGGCGGGCAGATCACCTGAGGTCAGGAGTTCAAGACCAGCCTGACCAACATGGTGAAACCCCATCTTAAAAAAAAAAAAGAAAAAGAAAGGAAAGAAAAAAGAACAAAAAAGGAAGGAAGACAGAGAAGGAGGGAGGGAGGCAAAGAGAGGAAAGAAAAGAAGCGAAGGGGAGGAGAAGAGGAGGGAAAGGGGAGGGGGAGGGGAAAGGGAGGGGAAAGAAAAGATGAACCTAGACTATCCTGTTGTGTCAGGGGGTACTGAAGCTCTCAAAGACTAAGCGGACATGTCAAATAGAGAAACTGCTTCAAGGTTGGGTCAAAAGTGGCCCAATTTGCATATCAAAATAAATAATGACAGGAGTAAATTTTTAACTGCTGAGTTAAAAAAACACACAAAGACTGTATTAGCAGTATCTAAATACTGATAGTTTCAAGAAAACGTTAAAGGAAGAGACAGAAGGGAAACTCAAGAGGATGCCAACTATTATTAACATAGAAGGAATAATATCTATGATAGCTATAGAAAAATTTGAGACTAGGCAAACATTCTGTTCTCAATTAGTTCTTTACCCAGTAGTTTTAACATCTGTTGGTCATTTTTGTCTGCTTCCAGTTTTAGACTAACGTGAAAAATGCTACTATAAACATTCACACACAGATCTGTGTGCAGACAAACATACTCATTTATCTTAGATAAATACCTAAAAGTAGGGTCATCTGGTCATATTGTAAGTGCATCTTCAGCACTGTAAGAAACTGCAATACAGTTTACACACCACCTGCTCCAACCAGATCCATTCTCGGATTACACATTGCATTTATTATAGTTGTTACCTGTTTTAATTTAGCCTCCTAGGTCTATATCAAAGAGGAATGAGGGCATATATCCACTAAAAGACTTGTACAAGCATGTTCAAAATAGCACTATTTGTTGTAAACCCAAAACCAGAAAAACCCAAATGTTCACCAACAGTAGTATAAAGAAATTCTGAATTTTTATGGCAATGGAATATTATATAGCAATGAAAAAGAACAAACATTACAGATAACAATATGAACAAATCTCACAATACGGAGTAAAAGCAGTCAGACACAAAAAAGCACATGCTGATGATTCCATTTATATAAAGTTCAATAACAAGCAAAACTAAAATACAAAAGTCAGAAAACTGATTTCCTATGGGGGTGGTGATTGGGAAGGACACATGTGAGCTTTCTGAGATGATGAATGCACCTTTCTGTATGTTTTATTCCAATACAAATAAAGAGTAAACATAATCCTGATTCTAAAAGTGAACAAAAAAAAAATGCTGAAAATTCTTTCTGAATTAATTCTAAACTTAGATTTTTCAGAAGGCATGCTTCCACTCGTACTTCCCAGGTTCTTTAATAAAACTTCTCTATGACTAGCAGGTGCTAATGACAACACTGGGGACAGAAAACATGCAGGGAAGAAGGCAATTTCGACTCCACACTGGATTTAAGTCATCAGGCTTTTTAAGAAAAGAGGTTTGCCAATCAGCATCGAGAAACACGGTAAGAAATACGTATTATTTTATTTGGTAATTTCCCTCCAGGAATTGATTTATCCTCAATCAACAACTCAGTCAAATATCTGTGAGCAATAATGTAACATTAGACATTTAAAATAATTTTTTAAAAGGAAATCCTGTGAAGGTAACACTTACAATTGGCGTCCCAAAAGGAATGTAACCTGTGAACAAGAAGAAAAGAGTCAGGCCTTAAAATCCACTCAAATCTCACCTGAGATACCCAGGAGCTTCCAGGTTAGGTCTGAGGCCATCAATGGTCCTGATGAAGCGGCTCAGGTCAGTTAGGCAGGAGGCACCTCCAATCTCACAGAACCTTTCCCAGCTCAGCCCTCGCCAGGGCAGAGGGTCCCCTGTGTCCCCAGCCTCCTCTTCTCTGCTGTCTTTGGCCAGGCAGCTTTCACTCTCCACTGGAACCCAGAGGCCTGTTCCTGCAGGCAGGGCTGCCGCTGCCTTGGGCACCACCGCTCCACATGTGGTGATCCTCCCACGATTTCCTGCGAGGCATGACACCCCTGCGCACACTCACTACATGAAGCTGAACATCCTCCAAGGACCCCAGAATGTCTTCCTTCTTCCCTCAGCTTGTCTTTCTAACACAGGCCCTTACTTCCCCAGCATCAAGGCCATTTCTGGAAAGAAAATTCCCTCCCCATCTGAGCCATGCACCTCTAAGTGCCAAAGCTTCTTAAATCTGTGGCATCCCCAGTGGCTCAGTAGGAAGCCAGGCCCTGGGTACGGCCTCCTCGCTGCTCTCAGCCCCCAGGCAAGGCTCTCTCCACAGCCCCAACTGTTGTCAGCGGACGGCCTCCTGTCCCCAACCTCTAACCATGGCAGCCAGTGAGCAGTGGCTGGACAGCAGGATCGGGCTTATCTGACTTACATCTCAAGTGAAGCTTTGCATCCTGAGTGTGCATAATCATGCACACACATGAGCCATCACTCTCCGACTCACTGCTCTCTGGGGAGAGAACCAGAGTTTGACTGGGGCCTCAGAGGAATGCATGACTCAAAAAGGTCAGGAATTACAAGTGAAGCCAGGCTCAGGGTGAGAGCCTGCTATGCCGGGTACAGGGACTGGGGGCGTCTACAACCACAACTATAAGATGCTCAGAGCCCTTCCTGGCACTTTGGGAAACCGAAGCAGACGGATCATTTGAGGTCAGGAGTTCAAGACCAGCCTGGCCAACATGATGAAAACCCATCTCCAATAAAAAGTACAAAAATTAGCCAGGCATGGTGGTGTGTGCCTGCAGTCCCAGCTACTCAGGAGGTGCTTGAATCTGGGCAGTGGAGGCTGCAATGAGCAGAGATCACGCCACTGCACTCCAGCCTCGGCAACAGAGTGAGACTCTGTCTCAAATATAAAGAAAAAAAAAAAATGCTCAGAGCCTTGGAGTTCTGACATGACAAAGCAAGGGGGTCACAGGGCACTCACTGCCCCAGTTTACACAATAACATCACATGTTCATCCACTCCCTGGTTGTTTATTTTGTTGCCCACAATGAGGTCAGGCTCTCTGGGGGTGGGAAGCCTGACTGACCCATTTGACTGAGACTGCCTTTCTCCAGCCCCCTGAGGCCTTCCCAAGGCAGCAGCAGCAGGACCCTCCCATCCCACCCTCATCACTCAAGATGGGTGCGTCCCACTGCACTGAGAATTGGCAAAGAGGAAGCATCAGCACACTCATGAGTGTGACTGCAGTGACTCTCGGAACTGCTGGGGAGATAAGCATGCCAACCCAGCTTGTGTACATGCCAGTGCTTTCTAAGCCCTAGAGCCCACATATACATAGCTGCCTCTTCAGTGACCACAGGACTTCCTGGGGTAGGGATCTTGTCTCCCACTCTGCCCACTGGTCTCCACAGAACGGGAATCCCACCTTCTGTATGTGCACAGCAGTGCAAGTACAATAACAGTGCATCCATTCTGAAGGGAAGGGAGAGCTCATTGCAGGATCAGAGAACAGAAAATTAAGCTGGAGACTGGCTGCCTAAACGGGGCAGGGCAGGGAGCACGACTTGGAAGGAAACAGCAGGACATGCATGGATAAGAGACAGGGAATGACTTGTAGAAGCCAGGGCTTGCTTATGGAGGCATCACTGAGGCTGTCCTAGCGGGTGCTGAGTGATACGGGGTGGGTGGTGGCAGGGACAACCAGATTCATCTTTGGAAGCCCCGGCTCCACCCCAACTGCTCATGCAGAAAAGGCAGGCAAGCTCCATAGAGGATTCTGAGGCCTGGCCGGCGTCTTGTATGGTTGAGCTGAGGTGAACATGTAGGTGCAAATGTGGCCACGATTGTGACAGGTTGTGTCTCATCCTTAGGCCAACACATCTGGACACTCCTGGAGCTGTGAGTGGAGTAAACACCCCAGGCTGACCAGAACCAGAAGGGCCCCAGGAGCTTACCTGACATTCTAAAGGGCATGAAGATCTTCTCATTGGTGTCCGGGTGTAGAATAGCCTGGCGAAAGCGAGAACAGAGAATGGGTGGGGACAGGGATGCAGGGAGGGGGAAGGCGGAAGAGGAGGGAGGAGGAAGACAAGCAAAGGCATTAGGGGAGGAAGGAGGGAAGAGGACAACCTCCCTGGGAAGATTCAGACATAGTGGCTTTATGTTGCCTGGTTGTCAGTTAGGCCTTTACACCACTCAAGGCAAGAGAATACCAAAACGTGGGCCATAAACAGACAGCACCCCTCCTCCTGACTTACCCTAAAAGCTGAATGTAGGGGAGAGCCAAAGTCCATGGGGAACGGGATCTTGTCTACATTACAGGCCCTCTACCCCTATGCCTGGTACATGGTAGGCACGTAAGAAGGATTTTGTGGGCAGAGCCCTGTCTCTTCCCGGAGCTCAGAGAACCCAGGGAAAGGCCAGCCTGGCCTGAGCTCCAGGCTTCACAGACTCTGGCCCTCGGGTGCCCGAGGAGGAGGAAGGGATGAGGGGGCCAAGGGCAAATGTGAGAGCACGGAAGAGCCATGGGAAGAGGGGCTTCCACTAAATCCCTGGGACAGAGCAGGGATAGCATGAAGAAGGAAATAAAGAATCCAAAACTGGCCGGGCGCGGTGGCTCGAGCCTGTAATCCCAGCACTTTGGGAGGCCGAGGCGGGTGGATCACGAGGTCAAGAGATCGAGACCATTCTGGTCAACATGGTGAAACCCCGTCTCTACTGAAAATACAAAAATTAGCTGGGCATGGTGGTGCGTGCCTGTAATCCCAGCTACTTGGGAGTCTGAGGCAGGAGAATTGCTTGAACCCGGGAGGCGGAGGTTGCGGTGAGCCGAGATCGCGCCATTGCACTCCAGCCTGGGTAACAAGAGCGAAACTCCGTCTCAAAAAAAAATCCAAAACTGGATTACCTGCTTGATTTTCTGTGCACTCCAGAGCTGGAAGAAAGAGAGAGAAAGGAAAAATTAAACAAAGAACAAAAATTAAAAGCACATATTGGTTTAAGGTTTCCTACCCATGTTTTCTAACCAAGGGATTCAGCTCCAAAAGCATAAGAGGCTTGGGCTGTCCCTGCCAGCCCACACTAGGCAACTGTCCTATTCCGGAGGTGTGGCATCAGATAGTAAGGGCCAGAGAGGCCCCAGAATGGCAGAGCTATGGGACCTCAGGTGGATCAATTAAGTCAGGGGTTCTTGACTCTGCCTGCACTCAAGAATTCCTTGGAGATTTTTTTCAGTATTTTCCTAAAGCTCCCTAGTTCACTCTAAGTCATAAGCAGGTAAAAACCTCTGATTTATTAGTTTAATAAACTAAGTAAAAAAAAAACAACAACAAAAAAAACAAACTCTGATTTAAATGAAGATACTTCAACCGTCTCCCAGAATCACTAGTGGCGGCATAGTATATACAATTTCTTCAGAGATAGCCTGGATTCCCTGCGGTGCCACTTCTACCTCTCAGCCTCAGTTTCCTCATCTGTGGAATGGGCATAATAGCCAAGCCTCTAACACAGAGTCATTTAAGAGGTGAATGGGAAGCTCTCAGAGCAATGTCGGCACAGTATCATGTGCTTGTAAGTGCTTACTGTTGTTGGCATTATTACGCTTGCTGTTATTATAAGAAGGCTGTAGGGAGAAAAAAGTTCCTTTCAAATGATGATGAGGTTGTCTCTTTCCAGCACAGAGACAGGTTGGAGAAACAGAATAATTTGTCAATCCCTTCAAATGACCTAAATACTGTAGTTGCATTGAATCTAAGACACCACTGATCCTAACATACACTATTATGTGCCACATACGAAAGAAAACTATGATGTAATATCAAGACCCCCATCAATTAAAAGACTCATTTCATTTTACAGACGTTATAATGTGATAAAGTAGGCCTTTTCAAATCAAAGAAACATGGTAAATAAAAATTTACACTGTGGGCTGGGGGCCAGGCACAGTGGCACACGCCTGTAGTCTCAACACTTTGGGAGACCAAAGCAAGAGAATCACTGAGCCCAGAATCAGTCTACCCTGGGCAACAAAGGGAGACCCCATCTCTACCAAAAAAAATTTAAAAATTAGCGGGCGTGGTGGCATGTGCCTGTGGACCCAGCTACTCAGTAGACTGAGGCAAGGAGAACACTTGCACCCAGGAGGTAGAGGCTGCAATGAACCATGACTGTGCCACAGCACTGCAGCCTGGATGACAGAGTGAGACCCTGTCTCAAAAATAAAAAATAAAAAATTTACACCATGGGCAAACCAAAGGCCTGGAATATTTTTTTAATGGAGAAAGAAGGCTAAGGGGATACAAGAAATATACAGACAGCAGCTGATGTTTAAAGTTTTATAATAGAATGGTTGTTATGCCTCATGTATATGGCAATGTTGGTCATCTGGAACATAAATTAAGCTGCAGAAGTTAAGAAGGCTACTGGGTAGTAAAAATAGAAGTTATAAAATTGATACATTAAAGTTTATGCATTTTACTCACAGCTGAGTCCCTCAAACCTTACTTCACAGCCTAATTAACTCTTATTTTAGACACATTTCCAACACACTTGATTGTCTGCTATTCCAGACCCAGGCAGATTAGAAGCAGTTGATTTTAAAAAAATAATAATTGGGGAACAGAGGGGGGCTGATGAGAGAAAAGCCAAAAGCAGAATCACTTCTAGCACAAAGGTTAAGTGAGAGCCTAACAGCAAAGGGATTATTAAAAAAAAAAAAAAAAAAAAAAGTAAATAAAAATAAAAGGCTGATCCTCCCCTCTCTGCTCAGTAAGCACCTTCCTGAAGCGCACCCTGAAGTCTGGGTTCTGTCCCTGGTGCCACCCCAGGCTCTGTGTACAGACTTTTGACACTCCACACCTTCCCCCTCAGTCATAACCTTCTGCATCCTCTCCCCTCTGGATTCACAGTCAGGCCACTCAGAGGCAGGAATCGGCTCTTCAGCACTGTCTCCTAGCACGTCCCATCCCCACAGGGTTTAGCACACAGTAGGTGCTCAATATGTGCCTCATGAAGGAATATCATCTTCTAAAACAGAGGTATACCCTAGACTTAAGTTGACTTCTGGTAAGGCACAGTGAGGCCAATGCACAGTTTCATCACCTTTTCTTCCCAAATCCTCGATAAAAGAACAGCAAAAGAATAAACCAGCTGAAAACCCCCTCAGGGAGGAAGGGGACATGACAGCAGGCAGAAGATGTCACACATCTTTGAAAGGTGGTAAGCTGATGAAGAGGTGAGCAGTTGGCAATGCTGCAGAGGGTGGAAGTGCCCCCCATATGCTCAGTGGGGAGTGAGTGGGCTCAGCCCAACTGGACTCTCCAGACACTGCAAAGGTGCAGGTGGCAGGGCCAGAAAACAGGGAGAGAGATTGCAAATGTCCCTGTGCACGGACCAGGAAGGCTCAAAGTCCCCACCCAGGTGATAGAGGTTTATTCTCCAGAGAAGCTGAATCAGCACAGCCCAGACATGGTCACAGGCACAGGGGGACCAGGGGGACCAGGCAAGGGTCTGAGTGCTGAATACAGGTCTCTCAAGGAGCCCATTTGCGTCCAGCTCCCAGGACACCACAGGCAGGAGGATGGAGACGCCTTCTCCAGGGAAACAGAAAAGCTCCCAGAGAAATGACCCACTAAGAAGGCTGGATTCATGAATAGGCCATTAGCACAATGCTAAGAAGGAGGTCCCCGTTCCAGTGGTCTGATACTGTGTGGTTGTTGTCTTTTTTTTTTTTTTTTTTTTTTTTTTTTTTTTTTTTTGAGACAGAGTCTCACTGTCACCAAGGTGGGAGTGCAGTGGCATGATCTCGGCCCTCTGCAAACTCCACCTCCCAGGTTCAAGTTACTCTTTTGCCTCAGCCTCCTCAGTAGCTGGGATTATAGGGGTGAGCCGCCTCACCCAACATGGTTGCTGTCTTAACTTTAATACAGGCATTCCACCTAAGGACATTTTGGCTGATGACAGACCACATATACAATAGTGGTCCCATAAGATTACAAGAGAGCTGAAAAATTCCTATGGCCTGTAACCTTGTGGCTGTCCTGAAGTCACAGTATAATGCATTACTCACATTTGTGGTAATGCTGGTGAAAACAAATCTACTGCATTGCTGTCTAGCTCCTATAATTATGTATGGTACACAACACCTGACAATAATAGACAATGTTACTGGTTTATGTTTACTATGCCATGCTTTTTATTATTATTTATTATTATTAATACTATTATTTTTGAGACAGAGTTTGAGATGCTCTTGTTGCCCAGGCTGGAGGGCAACGATCTTGTCTCACTGCAACCTCCGCCTCCCAGGTTCAAGTGATTCTCCTGCCTCAGCCTCCTGAATAGCTGGGATTACAGAGAGGCGTGCCACCACAACCAGCTTATTTTTTTTTTTAGTAGAGATGGGGTTTCACCTGTGTTGGCCAGGCTAGTCTCCAACTCCTGACCTCAGGTGATCCACCTGCCTCAGCCTCCCAAAGTGCTGGGATTAAAGGTGTGAGCCACTGTGCCCAGTTACTTCTTATTATTATAGAGTGTATACCTTCTACTTATATTAAAAAACAAACAAACAAACAAACTGTAAAACAGCCTCAGGCAGGCCCTTCAAGGGGTATTCTAGAAACAGGCATAGTTATCATAGGAGATGACAGCTCCAGCATATTACTGTTTCTAGAGACTTTCCAGTGGGACAAGATGTGGAGGTAAAAGACAATGATGTTAATGATCTTGACTGTATGTAGGCCTAGGATAATATGAGTGTGTCTTACTTTTTAACAAAAACATTTAAAAAGTTTTTTTTTTTAAAGTAAAAATGTTTAAAAATAGAAAAGAGCTTATGGACAAGAATTTTTTTGTACAGTTGTACAGTATGTGTATGTTTAAAGCTAAGTGTTATTACAAAAAAGTCAAAGTTTTAAAAATTTACAAGTTTATGAAGTAAAGTTATAGTAAGCTAAGGTTAATTTATTTTGAAGAGAGAAATAATTTTAAATAAATTTAGTGCAACCCAAGGATACAGGTTTATAAAGTCTACAGTAGCATACAGTCGTGTCCTAGGCCTTCACATTGACAGAGCACTCACTCACTCACTCAGAGCAACTTCCAGTTCTGCAGGCTCCATTCATGATAAGTATTCTATGAGGGTGTGCCATTTTTGTTTTTTGTTTGTTTGTTTGTTTGTTTTTGACAGGGTTTGCTCTGTCACCCAGGCTGGAGTACAGTGGTATCATCACAGCTCACTGCAGCCTCCACCTCTCCAGCTCAAGTAATCCTCCCACCTCAGCTTCCTGAGTAGCTGGGACTAGTTTCGACTACAGCTAGTCCCAGCTACTGTAGTCCTGGGAGAGTGCCCTGGCAGTCTGCATTTATGGGCACACAGGGTGTGCCATCACACTAGCTAATTTTTTGTGTGTTTTTGTAGACATACAGTCTCCCTATGTTGCCCAGGCTGGTCTCCAACTCCTGGGCTCAAGCAATCCTCCCACTTCAGCCTCCCAAAGTATTAGGATTACAAGCATGAGCCACCCTGCCCGGCCCCATCTTTTTAATCTTTTATATCTTATTTTTACTGTACCTTGTCTATGTTTAGATACACAAATACCATGTGCTCCAATTGCCTAAAGTATTCAGTAGAGTAACATGCTGTCAAGGTGTATAGCCCAAGAGCAGCAGGCTAGCCCACACAGCCTAGGTGTGGAATAGAGTAACATGCTGTCCAGGTGTGTAGCCCAGGAGCACAGGCTAGCCCATATAGCCTAGGCATGGAGTAGAGTAACATGCTGTCCAGATATGTGGCCCAGGAGCACAGGCTAGCCCATACAGCCTAGGTGTGGAGTAGAGTAACATGCTACCCAGGTATGTGGCCCAGGAGCACAGGCTAGCCCATACAGCCTAGGTGTGGAGTAGAGTAACATGCTGTCCAGATATGTAGCCCAGGAG